ACATATGCCATTGTACTCCATGTTTCATCCTTTCAATGCCTTTTGAGAGTTGTGTTCTTGTGCCTAATTGGTGAGCCAATACACATGCATTCCATGCCTTTATTTTATCACCAATGGCCTCTATTTGGGCATGGTTGAGGTCTGTCCACTTTAATTTAAGTCCATTGAGCATGATTGATTGCATGTTGTTTGCATGCTATGTTGTCCGTTGCATTGCGTATGCCATATACTTTGCATTGTGTATGCTTAGGTCATATTGTATCGAGTATGCCACCTTACCTTGCATTGAGTATGCTAGGTTGTCATTCGCATTGTGTATGCTGTAACGACCCCGGTCTTTTTCCATTTGATTGTTGTATAATTGTTGTTGTCGTCCTTTATTCTCTCATTTGGAGTTATAGGATGTGTTGGGCAGGTTTGTTTCAGGTTGGTTGGGTTCGTAAACCAAGTGTTGCTGTCCAGTTTTTTAGTTGGTCGCTCGAGCCAGGAATTTGTCGCTCGAGCGAGGGTTGTCTTTTGTGTCTTCTGGCTCAATCCAGCTTTGCTTCGCTCGAGCGAGCGACTGCATCTGGTTTAGACCTGAGGGTAGTGCTTATTCGCTCGAGCGAGATCTTCTTCGCTCGAGCGAGCGAGGTGTATGTTTTCGAGTTCCTAACTCGAGCGAGAATTCTGTCGCTCGAGCGTGCTCCAGGGTTGCAGACCTGAAGCACTGCATTCTTGGCTCGAGCGAGCTTTTCTTCGCTCGAGCGAGGTTTTCGTGTGTCTGGTCGCTCGAGCGACCAAGTATTCGCTCAAGCGAGCCTGTCCAGTTTATATACGCAGCAGCGGGTTTTGATCAGTCTTTTTCATCTTCTTTTTGATTCCAAACCCTAGGTCCGACTTTTCTCTCTCCCTACTCACCTTCTCTCTTAGGTTTGATCTATTTAGAGTGTCTTTCTACCCTAGTTGCTTTATTAAAAAGATAGAGGGAGTCGAGGGCTTTCATTCAATCTGAACATTTGGCGATTTGGAGCACATTGGAATTTGGGTATTCATCTCTGTCTTCTCCATTTGGGTTATCTTCTTTGAGGTAGGGATTTCCTACTCCATTCTATAAGTTTTGTTCTAAGTTTTGGTATTTTGATATGTTGGGGATACTTTGGTAATTTTGGGAAAAACCCTAGTGGTGTTAATAAGTTAATTTGTATAATTAATTAAAGGAAATTGGGGAAATATGGTTAAATTCATGGAACTGAGGAATTCATTGATTAAGTGGTGTAGTTGGATAATTTAAATCACTCACCCATTGAATTGTTGTTATGTTTATTTTCAGTCTAGAAATAAATGTTTTGGGCTATCGGTGGAGGATAGCTGTGATTGTTGTAGACACTGCATGTGGATTAGGGATAACTGAAACTAATCATTGATTAAATCATCAATTTTGACTGTTGAATTAATACAGACATTATGTGTATTGATTGTGGGTTGCATATGTTATGTGTTTACATACATTGTTTTGTGTGGGAGGAGATAGGGGATGTACTCCACGGTTTAGGGGAAGATAGGGGATAGACCTCTAAACCAGATTTTGTTTGGGAGGAGATAGGGGATGGACTCCATTAGCATCACTTTTATGTGTGCTTATTTATATAGAAGTGTTTTATTGATACAGCACTAAAATGTGTATCAATCTGGAAGTATGAAGTGTTTTGATTTGAGCTTGAGTCTCATTTGTTTGTTGACATTGGAAGATTGTGAATCTGATATATATAATTCACTGTTGTAAGTTTGGCCAGGTTCTGAGCCATATTGATAATGATGGAAAGTGGAACGTGTCATTGACATTAGTGTTATGAGACTGTAAAATGTTGTAATTGATTATCTTGGTTAACCATCTATTGAATGCTATTGCTTTATTCATTGCTTATATTTGGTTTAGTATATTTCTGCTGGGCTGTGGCTCACCCTTTTATGGGAACATCATTTTCAGGTCCAGGTGATAAGCTACCTCCAAGGACTTAGCTTGGCAGGATTTGGATTTTGAAGACCATCTTTAGTTAGTTGTTTTATTTGATAAACACACAAGCCTAGGGCTTTATTTGTATTTGAGTTAGAACTCATACTTTTGTGTCCAAGTGTTGGGTTGGAAAGATGTAAGCCTGTAGGGCATTTAATTTGATGTTACATGTAATGCTTTTGTTTAGTAAGACTCTGATGAATATTATTATGAATTAATAAAGTGTTTTCTTCAAATAATGCATGTCAATGATATATATATAATGGGTTAATTTTGAGGGTGTTACATATTCCATTTTGTTGCTTAGCATTGAGTGTGCATGTTCCTTGCATTGAGTATGCTATGTTCCATGCCACTTGTTGCATTGTGTTTGGAATAGGTGTTTAGTCCAAACACGAGAAATGAGGGACGTTTCATACTTGAAGTGATGAAACGTGCCTCAATTCTCAGTCGCCGACGCTCTTGATCTTACATGATAGAGGTTTAGGCCTTATGTGTTTACTTGTGCATTCATTTTCATATTGAATTGTGCAACTTCACCTCTCGGTCATCATGCATCGAGATGCGTGATTGGTGAACCGAGGGTCGAGAACCACACTCTCTTGAGCTTATGAAATGATAGGGAGGATGGTTGTGCACACATATCTTGCAAATACATTGCCATGTCCTTTCTTGCTCTCTGTTGCAGCAAACTGGAAGAGGTGCAGCAAAACTGGTCGACCGACCAGTATTACTAGCTGGCCGACCACTTTTTCTGGTTTTTCAGCAAGAAAAATGGTCGGCAGGTGGTCTTCCTCCCCAACAACTGATCGGCAGCATCCCTAGAGGTCTCCTAGGTGGAGTTGAAGCTTTGTGGAGCTTGGTGAAGTGTTCTGAGAACAGTTGCAAACAGAGGCAAGTTAGGGCATCGCAATGGATTTCCGATCGAGGCGATTCGAACATGCATGCATCCCTCGTCATGAGGCTCTTTCAGTGCTTTGTTAACTTAGAATAGTTATTTGTTTCAACTTGTTTTGTAATAATTAATTAGCTAGAATATTTAGCTAATTAGTCGGTTCTGTATTATTTATTCGGAGCCTCCGTCGAGAGGGCAAATTTTGTAATAAGTGTGCATGTGTGTGATGCATGTCTTCCAACCCCTATTTCTTTCTCCCTTTTATTTACCATCTTTTGATGGTTAGTTTTAGGGCATGTTTCAATTAGCATCCTTATGCTTCACATGTTTGCATTCATTCATCTGTCTTGCATGCACCGGACTTGACACATCATACTAACTACATTGTATTTCAGTACCAAGTTGAATACATGTATCAACTGTTGCATTTCACATGCCATTTTAGAATAGCCAAGCCTATTTCTAGTTGCATTTTGCACGTGTTGCATTAGCCATTCTAACATGAACTAGGACCATGCGTTGATTACTAACTAGTTGTTATTTTGGCTCGGAGTACTAGGTAAGCTTTTATGCTTTAGCATCTTGCATGAGTGTGAGTGTTGCCATGATAGCATGTCTGCCATAAGGCTATTTGTTTATGTGATATAACTGCATGAATGCCTGTGGGTGAAAGTTGGATTATTTGAATTGGAACAATTCATTGATTGCGAGTTTTATGCCCACTTGAGAGTGGCAAAATCATGTTTTCCTAAGCCCACTTGAGGGTGGAAAAATCCGCATTTTAGCCTACTTGCAAGTAGCAAACTGCTTTCAAAAACAAACATGAGATGATTTGTTCCAACTTAGGTGATCCAGTCTATACTTGTATGCTGTGTGCATCACATAATAGTTCTAGGTTAATACACCGGAATAAGAACACATGTGTTTTCAAAAACGAGATATCATGTTAGTAAAGGCCAATCTTTGATCGGGCGAGCGGGGGTGCTCATTGCATGACCTTCCCCTCTCGTACCCAAGTTCCCGAGCCGAGGCAACTTTGGTGATGACGGACACGTGGCCTTAGGCACGAGTCAGGGTTTCCTAAATTCCCCAAAATAAAACATTTAGGTGGCGACTCTGTATCTGGCAAAGCAATCCATGTTTGACACTTCTTTCCAAAATTCAGTTTTTCAAAATGATTTACTGGATTTGGACTCTTTGGTGATTTATCAGTCTTGTATTGCACTTTGCGAAATTAGATTCAGAACCGTGACCTTTGAGTCCGAACTGTAGTGAGCCTAATGAACAAAGCGGGATTTTCCCGGGACGTTCGGGCGCGTCTACAGTTATCAAAGTATTGGATTCACTAAGCATGATTGTCATAACTATATTCAAGTTGAGCGGTCAAAAAGAATTGAAGCTGGTGACGGTCAGAGTGTAATAAATCATTTTAAGCATAAGCAAACAAAGAATCCAATGTTCTTTTATACAGTGCAAGTTGATGACGAAAATCAAATGAGTAATTTTTTTTAGAGAGGTGGAATTTTCAAATTGGACTATGAGTGTTTTGGAGATGTTGTAATTTTTTATACCACCTACCGGACAAACAAATATAACATGATTTGTGCTTCATTTGTAGGGGTAAATCATCATTGGAAAAATGTACTATTTGGTTGTGCATTTTTGTGTGATGAGAGAATTGCATCATTTGTTTGGTTGTTTCATGCTTTTCTTGAGTCTATGGATTATAAGGCACCAAAAACTATTTTCACTAATCAAGATCATGCAATAGCAAATGCCATTGCAAGAGTCTTGCCTAAAACACAACATCGTTTGTGTCAATAGCACATCTCAAAAAATGTTGCAGTGAATATTTCTGGTCTTTATCATAATTCTGGTTTTAAAGACATGCTTAACTTAACTATTTGTTGTACAAATGTGATAATGAAAGTGAATTTGAGGATAAGTGGAAGAAAATGATTGATACATGGAATTGTCCCAATCAATCATGGCTCTTAAAACTATATAGCATTTTGGGAAAAATGGGCTCCCACCTTAAGTCGTGATGTATTTTCATGCAACATAAATTCTAGTCAAAGAAGTGTGAGCACAAATAATGTTTTTCAGCATATGGCAAGTAAGACATTGACTCTTACTGAATTTGTGTGTCGCTATGAACAAAATGTTGAGAAGATGCGTGAGGTAGAGGTGATTGATAATTTTAATTGTGCTAATGGAAAACCTCGTATTGCATCTCGTGGTAGTGGAATTTTGAAACATGCATGTAAAGTGTATACACACAAAATATTTGCAATGTTTCAAGATGAGTTTTTTCAAACAATATCATTAATGGTTGTTGAATGCATTTCTAATGGGACATTGGAAATGTATGAGATGCGAATGGAGGATGGTACTCGAGAGTACTATGTGAACTTCAACTCATCTAATTGTTCAATCTCATGTAGTTGTAAACGGTTCGAGGCATTGGGATTGTTATGTCGTCATGCTTTAAGAGTGTTCAATTTGAATAATGTGAAGAAAATTCTTGAAAAGTATATTTTGGAGAGATGGACAAAAGATGCAAAACAGGGTTGTGTAGGGGAGAGGCATTCTAAATTAGTAGAAGATAATAGTGGTAATTCAGCTAAAACATTGCAACTTAATAGGTTAATACGCAAAGCGTTTGCGCTCATGAATTTATGTTCTAATTCTGATGCCATAAGTGAGATTGTAGATAGGATCATGGATAGTACTTTTGAACAAATTAAAAAACATAATGCATCTGTAAGTGGTGGAGATACATGTGAAGATGATGGACATGCAACTTTAGCAATTTTTGATATTTTGATTAAGGATCCTCCTCGGCTAAGAAAGAAAGGACAGACATATGGTAGAATGAAGGGGGTTTTGGAGAGGAAAAAAAGAAAAGTTGAAAAGGTGAGTACAAGTAAATCTCAAGCACTAGACACTGTTGTGACAGGAAAATAAAATTATGTTTTTGGAGATATAAAATTTATTTTTTTTTTTTTTGTACAAGCAATGATAGTCACACATGTTTATTTATTTATTATTAGATACCACAATGCAGCCATATGTTGTAGGACCTTCAAGGTTTTCTGTGCCAACAACAAATGTTCCAATTGTCCAGGAGGTATATTCATCATGTAAAAAAACAACTTAATTTCATTTTGTTTAATTACTTGTCATGACCCAAACTCGCCCCTATAGGTTTAGCGACGTAATCGACCAATAATCCTGGGATTACCAAAAGCCTCTTAACAGAATAACAAAATATAAGGGGCTGCGGAAGCAATTATACAAAATACAAGGTCCATAGAGCTGTGTAGACATACATGAGACAGATAAGTTTTAAGCGTATATAATGTCAAACTTCCATAAGACTTGTATCGCCATACATATAATGTTATGAGGGACTTAGCCCAGCGTACAGATAAGCAAAAACAAACAACAAAATATCTTCCATAGGTTCCCAAAACTTGACTTCTCAAAATGAACCTCCCCGAGAGGCACAGTGGTTGGCTGACTCAAAAACACTCCAGACAGCACCTGGTCACACGCCTGCTCACCTACATACATAATATAAATAGTGAACGAAAGCTTAGTGAATAATAACAGAGTAAAGGGTTTAAATGAATGATGTCCATAACAGATTCAGAAATCAAAGTTCATATTAGAAACTGGTTTATATTCATATTCTTGTTCAAACTACATACCGAAATTAGAGTTCATGCTTCATCATACATGGTACATCCATTAGCGTTATCATGCTTGTCAGTTCCATAAGGAACATCCGGTACCGAGAACTTGTAAAATACTTGAGCCACGGTATTATTACCCATGGGCAAGGGCCATGAGACCACGGTACTGTTACCCCTGGGCAAGGGCCTTGTGCTTATAGACCATGGTATTATTACCCCCGGGCAAGGGCCTTGTCATGACCCCAACCCGCCCCTATGGATTAAGGTCATAACCGGCCAATAATCAAGAGATTACCTACGGCCTCAAACCTGATTAGACATATTACGACAGAGTAAAGGGGGCCAAAACAGAAGCAACTTAGAAATTTTGTCTATAGAGCTGTGCTTAAATGGCACATCATAACATTTCACATATATTCGTTAATAACCCATATCAAAAGAAAGTTAACATATGAGTTTTACACAACAGGATCATTCAAGTCATAGTCAGCCGAACCAAAAGCTTATGTACATGGTGAGCTAACATTTTCACCAAAGTAACAACAGAAAGACAAAAGAAACAAACAAGTCTCGTGCGTGAGACGTTTGGGCTGAGTCTACAAAACTTGACTTTTCTCACATAACTTGACCGAGGCTGGGTTTGAACATCTCTTTGCTCTCCTACATACACATGAATGAGAGTGAGCGAAAGCCCAATGAATAATATCAAATAAAGAAGATACATGAATGAAATTCGAAACAGATATATCAAACGACCTTAGGCCCATTCATGTTTTTATTGGTACGTTAAACGATTTCAAGCCCGAACATACCAAATGGCCTCTGGCCCACTTCATCCTTAACAGACGGCCTCGGGCCCAATTCATTTATGTCCAACGGCCTTTGGCCCAATCATTCATGTTTGACAGCCTTTGGCCCAATTAATCATATCCGACGGCCTTTGGCCCAATCTTATGGCATAACAATTATTTGTCCATAATTTGAATTGACAAACTTATGCAACTCAAATAGGAGTAAGTAATTGGACAAATAGCATACTTTAAAATATCTTTACTAAGATATTACTCACAGTGTTCTGCCGGTGGATTTGTCCTTGTGCTCGAACCTACATAAATCATAACACATATTGGGTCACAAACAATTCGATCCGTTCTTAATTTATTTCTTTCTCTTAGGCCTCTTTCTTACCCCTTTTTGGTCATATACAAAGTTTAATGCATGCCTAAAAGTCCTTAGAAATGGAAGAGAACAAAAAATGAAACACAAAATATCTCTTCAAAATTTCTGAAACAGGGTTCCCTGCTCGAGCGCAGCTTTTGCCGCTCGAGTGGACCCCTTTGGTCTGCAAAAGTACTAGTTGCCTCATTTTTGCGCTTGAGCGTGACTTCAAAAGCTCTAGCTAAGAGTCAAGACAAGTGGCTTAGCACTCGAGCGCGAATATTTCCGCTCGAGCGGACATCAATGTTTGCAAAAGTTCTGGGAGCTTGAATTTCACGCTGGAGCGGCGCTTTCCCCACTTGAGCGGACCCGACGAATTCTGGAATTTCCAGAATTGTTCTTGAAGCTCAAACTTGATGTTCAAAGGTCCAACATTCATATTTTTGGTACAAAAACATGGAGAGACATTACATAATATGAGAATATAGGCAATTCAAGACCAATTGTCCAAAACCCTGATTTAATTCTCAAACCATTTAACATTCTTTTTGACATGGTCAAAGCTCATGCATTCTAGCTTCATACAAACTTCATATCTCCATGGATCACTCATGCATGTCAATTATTGACTCCAATTTCACTTTAAATGGCACAAATGATGTTCAAAATCATGGAATCTATTAGAATCATGCATGCATGGATGATTTGGTGCTCAATTTATCATATTCAACATGTCTCATGCTTAATTATGCAAATTCATGGCAATTCTATGCATGTATGTGCATATAAACTTCAATTTCATCATAATCAACTCAATTCTTGCCCTCAATTGCACACCTTGCTTGAATTCACTCATTTATGAACTTAATTTCATGAAGTTGAGCTCAATTACTCACCTAGAGGCTCCAATCCTCACAAACGTAGTTAAATCTTGAGTGTAGCTTCCAAATTCACAAACTTTGAGCCAAAATGCACAATTCTTCCTCTTCCTCTCTCCAGAACCGGCCCTTCTCTCTCTCTCTAGAGTGTGATTTTTAGATTTTGAGTTCAAAAGGAATGAGGTTAAGTGTAATAAGGCCCTTATATATATATTTGCCTAATCAAATTTGATTAAGGCTAAGTAATAATGCTCTAATTTAGTCATTCTGAATCTAATTATTTTGATCCGAATAAGTTTTCAATTAAATTTCATCGTAGGCTCTAAAAATTACGCTAATCACAATGGCGTAGTCAATTTTGGTTTCTGATGCCTCTACGGCCTTCAATTAAAATTCTAAAGCAGAAATTCAAACAGATTTTCGTACGGTGAACAGATAAAAATACAAAAACACATATAATCATGTAATTATCACTCAAAACCATGTCAAGCATATAATCACAATCAAAATTAAGATCAATTAACATAACACGGAACAGGGTTATCACAGGCCTTATGCTAAGAATGCCACGAATACTTGTCAGAAATTGGACATTCATTCATTGTACTGAACATAACATTTCAGAAAACAAATCTTATTTTATCATACAAAAAATAAATAAAGTTGAACATAGTTTTACTAAGTTTTTACTCACAGATCAGACAAATCAGATAACTTGTGGCGCGTGACCTACACACACATAACAGAAACACATAATGAAACACACACTCGGTTAATACTTAACTTCTTTTGTTTCGTTTTTAGTGTGTTTCTAGATCTTAACCTCTTATTGTGTCTTAATCATGGCCTAGGAATGCCTTGGATGCAATGTAGATGCCAAAATGCACTTGGAACTCTTAACAAAACTTACTGAAAACAGGGGTCACGCTCGAGTGCAACTTCCCTCGCTTGAGCAGACATGCAAACATATAAAGGGACGCTTGAGCACAACTTCCTTCACTTGAATGGTCTGCAAACTCTGAAAAAGTACTGGTTGTGTGAATTCTCCGCTCGATGGTCGCTCGAGCGTGAGACTGAGGTCCTCGCTTGAGCGCAACTCTTGTTGCTCAAACATTCTGCAAAATGTGTAAACTTTTGGGAACTTGCATTTCTCACTCGAGTAAACTTCTGGTCACTCGAGCGTGATGTGCAAAATCACAGAGTGGTCGCTCGAGCGCAAGTTTTGTCACTTCGCTCGAGCGGGAGGTTGAATTCTGGAATTTCTAGATTCACCTCCAAGCTGCAAAACTCGAATTCAATGCTTCAAACTCAACCTTTGGGCCCCAAAACTTGAGAGAACATGTCTAAACTTGGAAAACATCTTGAATTCAAAACCATTTCGCAAAATCAAGGCCCAATAGCATGCCAATTGTTCAAAAGTCAACTTGAAACTTATGAATATACCATGAACATGACATACATGAATTACTATGAACTTAGACTTTCCAAAACATGATCAATAAAGGTCAAATGGTAAGAAATGTGATAAATTTGCAAAACCAAGTCAAGATAGACACATGCATGTGAAAATTCTTTAGAAACATACTCAAAATGCTATGATATATGCATGTATGCATGCATGAATGGCTCAATTCTTCATTTCTATCTTAGTTCTTCCATTATTCAACTCAACCCTCTTGAATTCATGAGCTAGACATCATAATTGTACCATTTAAGGGTTGAACTCTTACCTAGGCTTCCCAAGGTGTGAGCTAGAGGCTTAATTCTTGAGTCTCTAAAGCCAATGCCTTCAATTCCTAGCAATTCCCTTAGCTTGAACTTAATTCCTCTCCAAAATGGCTCTAAGTTCATTCTTCTGACTCTTCCTCACGTTTGGAGCTCAAGGAGGATAAAATAAAGGTGCAAAAATGACCTCAAGGAGTTAGATTAGCCTTATATAGGCTTGATTAGGGAGTTTTATCAATTAAGCTTACCACTAATCAAATGGACGCTATTTTATTCTAATTAATTCGTTCCGAATCGAAAGTTAATTAAACTTACCATAATGTTCTAAAAATCCTAAATAGCACATAAATCAAGCCAATTTCGTGATCGGATGCCGATAAGGCCTTCAATTCAGATAACAAAATAGAAATTCAAACAGATATTTCTACATTAGACGGATATAAGCACAAATAATGCGACACACATGCAATTAATTCAGAATTTCACCTTAATTACTGATTAGGCTTATTTAATCATTAATTAACATTAATCAGAGGTCGGGTTGTTACAGTCTTCCCCCCTTAAAGAGTTTGGTGTTACCTTCATTTTAGGAAAATGTTGGATTCGACGGAAACAAATCTGGATATCTCTTCATTATATCTTCTTCTGTTTCCCATGTAGCATGAGTTCCTCCATGATTCTGCCAATCAACTTTCACCAATGGGATTTCTTTGTTCTTCAATCTCTTGATTCTTCGGTTAACGATTTGAATTGGCTATTCTTCACATATATAATCATCCTTCAAAAGTACATGTATCAGCTCAATAACATGGAACAGATCCCTCAAATAGTCTCGGAGCATTGAAACATAAAAGACATTGTGCATATTTTCCATGACTGGAGGCAAGGCTACCCGATACATCACCGGGTTAATTTTCTCTACGATTTCATAAGGCCCAACATATCTCGGTGCCAATTTACCCTTCACTCCAAACCGTGTTTGGCCTTTCATTGGAGTCACTTTGATAAACACATGATCTCTCACTTTATATTCTTTATCATGCCTTTGGACATCGGTATAACTCTTTTGGCAGCTCTGTGTAGTTTTCAAATGTTGTTGTATCAATTTCACTTTTTCAATTGTTTCTTGCACAAGTTCTGGTCCTAAAAACGGTCTTTCACCTATCTCAGCCCAACAAATCAGAGAATGGCACTTCCTACCATACAAAGCTTCATATGGAGCCATACCGATACTTGAAAGGTAGCTGTTGTTATACATAAACTCGGCCAACGGTAAGTAGGTCTCCCAATTTCCTTGGAAATCTAGGGCACACATCCGTAACATATCCTCTAAAGTCTGATTGGTTTGTTCAGATTGGCCGTCTGTCTGTGGATGGTAGGTACTACTCAGTTGCAGTTCAGTTCCCAAAGCCTGTTACAGACTTTGCCAAAACCTTGACGTAAACTTCAAATCTCTGTTAGATACAATAGATACTGGCACACCATGCAATCTCACAATCTCATTTATATAAATATTAGCCAACTTGTCCGCATTATAAATAGTTTTAACAGGCAAAAAATGAGCAGACTTAGTAAATCAGTCAACAATGACCCAAATAGAATCCATACCCCGAGAAGAGTGAGGCAAACCCACAATGAAGTCCATAGTGATATACTCTCATTTCCATTCCGGTATTGGGAGCGGCTGAAGCAATCTAGTAGGTCGTTGATGTTCAGCTTTAACTTGTTGGCAGTGCAAACATCTAGCTACAAAGTTAGCAATACTCTTCTTCATTCCAGGCCAGCAGAAATTCTGTTTCATGTCATGGTATATCTTTGTATTCCCCGGATGCATAGCAAATTTTGAATTGTAAGCCTCGGTCATAACACGTTTCCTTAAATAAGAACAATCTGGTACACACAGTCTATTCTGAAATTTTAACACATCATTTTCAATCACGAACACGAGCCTCGGTTTTGAGTAAATTTCATCAGAAATTTTCTTCAAGAATTCATCTTCATGTTGTTTCTCTTTAATCTCTTCAATGATTGTAGGTTGAGCAGAAATGGCGGCTAAGATCCCGCCTTATTCATGCAATACAATTTCAATCTCATTCCTTTCTAGATCACATATTAACTCCTTCTGACCGGTGAGTAAACATGACAAATTATTCATGGATTTCCGACTCAAGGCATCTGCAACGGTATTGGCTTTTCCTGGATAGTACAAGATTTGCAAGTCATAATCCTTGATCAACTTAAGCCATCGTCTCTGTCTCATGTTCAGTTCCTTTTGGGTGAAAAAATATTTGATACTTTTATGATCAGTGTACACTTCACAAGTCACACCATATAGATAATGTCGCCAAATTTTCAAAGCAAATACCACAGCTGGTCATGGGTTGGATAATTCTTTTCATGAGGGTAAAGTCGTCGAGAAACATAAGCTATCACTTTTTCATTTTGCATCAACACACACCCCAAGCCTTTGTAGGAAGCATCACTGTAAATTTGAAACCCATCAGTACCATTAGGCAAAGTCAAAATTGGTGCAATTACTAACCTGGTCTTTAACTCTTGGAAGACAGTCTCTTTTTAATTATTCCATTCAAATGGTGTGGTTTTCTGTGTCAATTGAGTGAGTGGCAAAGCAAGTTTGGAAAAATCTTTCACAAATCTATGATAATAGCCTGCAAGTCCCAGAAAACTTCGAACTCCTGATACATTGGTTGGTCTAGACCAGTCCACAATAGTTTCAATTTTTTGTGGGTCAACAGAGATACCATCCTTGTTGATTACATGCCCCAAAAATGCTACACTGTAAAGCCAAAATTCACACTTGGACAATTTCGCATACAATTTCTTTTCTCTCAGAATCTGTAAGACAGTTTTTAAATGATTTTTATATTCTTCCTTGCTTTTCGAGTAAATCAGGATATCATCAATAAATACAACGATAAATTCATTAAGGAATTGTTTGAAAACCCTATTCATTAGGTCCATAAACGTTGCAGGTGCATTAGTTACTCCAATTGGCATTACCAAAAATTCATAGTGTCCATATTTAGTTCTGAATGCAGTCTTCTCTACATCTTCTGCCTTAACCTTTAATTGGTGATATCCTGACCTAAGGTCTATCTTAGAGAGTACTTGTGCTCCCTGCAGTTGGTCAAACAAGTCGTCTATTCGGGGCAATGGATATTTGTTCTTGGCAGTTGTTTTGTTCAACTCATGGTAGTCAATACATAGCCTCAAAGACCCGTCTTTCTTTTTGACAAATAATATTGGAGCACCCCAAGGTGAAGTGCTCGGGGGGACAAACTTCTTGTCTTATAGTTCCTGAAGTTGAGTTTTCAATTCTTTTAATTCAGAGATGGACATTCTATATGGGGTTTTAGAAATTGGTTGTGTCCCGGGTACTACATCAATGGTGAACTCAATTTCCCTATCAATTAATTTCCCAGGTAGGTCATTAAGAAATACATCAGAAAATTCACAAGCCATGGGAATATTTTCCACACTAACACTATCTAAAGACACAGTCAACACACAACACAAGTAGGCCCGACAACCTTTTCTTAACAATTTCCTGGCTTTCATAAATGAAATCAAGTATGGCAAATGAACTACCCTGTTTCCAGTAAAAACAAACTCAGGCATACCAGGTGGTCTAAACACAACAGATTTACTCACACAGTCAATGGTGGCATAGTATTTAATCAACCAATTCATACCCAGAATACAATCAAAATGATCAATGCTCAAGGGCAGCAAATCAACATACAATGTCATATCACCAATCATAATATCACATGCCAGATAAACATAAGCACATATCATAGAACCTCCAGACGGTGTAGACATAGATAGTAAATAGTTCATAGGTTCTAACGGTCTAGTTAATTTCTGAGAAAAAGCATGCGATATAAATGAACGCGTAGAACTAGAATCAATCAGCACATAGGCATTCTGAGCACAGATAGAGATTATACCTGACACCACTGACTCAGTATTCTGTACATCCCTAGGTACTAATGCAAAAACCTGATCTTGTCTCAAAGTTTCTCCCATAGTATTGGCGCTCACATTCGTTCTTGGTGTAGGAGCAAATCTAGCTGAACTTACTGTAGGACGGGTAGTCGTGTCGAGTCTCATCGGACAATCTCTAATCATGTGGCCTGTCTTCCCGCATCTGAAACAAGTGCCAGATGCACGGTGACAGGTTCCCTTATGCTTCCTTCTGCATTCTGGACAAACTGGCATAGACCCACTGCTTTGGCTTGAACTACTTGAAGATCTAGTATTTTGCCTTTTGCCTATAAAGAATGAGTGGCCCTCCCGAAAATTGGATCTAGATCTTTTGCCTCTCCATTCAGTTGTTGGAGCATTAGTCTGTTTCTTTGCTGCTAGTATGGCCTCTACCATCGATGCCCTATCAAGTACTTCCACATAAGTAGGCAATTTCAATACGCCTACTCGATCATACACGTCCAGGTCTAAGCCCCCTTCAAATTTCTGAGCCTTCTTATAATCTGTGTTGACCATGTCAGGAGAAAATTTGGCTAACTCAGTAAACCTAGCCTCATACTCGGCTACAGACATCCTGCCTTGCTTCAATTCTTGGAATTCAGAATCTTTCTGATCCCAAAAATATTGAGGAAAGTACTTGTCATAAAATATGTCATTGAATTGCGCCCATGCCATGTTCCCATTATTAGTTTGAATCAACAACCACCATTTTCGGGCTTCATCTTTTAAGGTATAGGTGGCTAATAGAACTTTCTAAGTCTCAGAACAAGGAAATACCTCAAATAATTTCTCTATCTCAAGCAACCATGTCTCTGCCTTTAAGGGTTCAATACCACCCAAGAAAGTCGACAATTTCATCTTCATGAATTTCTGAGTTAGGTTGATAATGTCATTGTTATCCGGTTCAACTTGCACTGGCAGAGAGGTAAAGGTTGTTGCCTCTGTTGCTGTGTCATTGCTTTAGTTAAGGCTACAAGCATTTGTTCCATTCGGCTCATTCGAGCCTCAGAGGACCCTGCTGTATCATCACTTCTTATATTTTCCATTGATATAGGGAAACAGGAGAACAATAAACATAGGCAAATAGTTCTTTTCACAGTGTTCGGAACATTCAATCCCAGTTCAGTCATTTCAATTTCATGCATTCATGTTCAGATGAAGTTTTCTCATGTATAGAAATTATTACACACTCACACATGCAGATGGAATGCCCCTAACTCTTCCTAGGACATCCTATAGCTCATATGGACTCATGTGTGCGGTATAACGTGTGCTTTGATACCATTCTGTCACGACCCAAACCCGCCTCTATAGTTTTAGCGATGTAACCGACCAGTAATCTTGGGATTACCAAAGGCCTCTTAACAGAATAACAAAATATAAGGGGTTGCAGAAGCAATTATACAAAATACAAGATCCATAGAGTTGTGTAGACATACATGAGATAGATAAGTTTTAAGCTTATATAATGTCAAACTTCCATAAGACTTGTATCACCATACATATAATGTTATGAGGGACTTAGCCCAGCGTACAGATAAGCAAAAACAAACAACAAAACATCTTCCACAGGTTCCCAAAACTTGACTTCTCAAAAGGAACCTCCCCGAGAGGTATAGTGGTTGGCTGACTCAAAAACACTCCAGGCAGCACCTGGTCACGCCCCTGCTCACCTACATACATAATATAAATAGTGAACGAAAGCCCAGTGAATAATAACA